ATTGCCCAAACTAATCAATTATTTTAATGAGTTATAACTACTTGCCGTTAGATAAAAATCCGACCGATTTTCAGCAGATAAAGAATTTACTGGCGCACGAACAGCTTGTCTCCATAACCTTTGATGCCCACGACCGCATAAGCAAATGCCGCAAATACCTGGATGATAAAATGGCCGGTTCCGATGATTTGTTTTATGGCATCAATACCGGTTTTGGCTTTCTGCAAAATGTACATATAGATAAAACCCAATTGCAGGAATTACAAAAGAACCTCATAAAATCACACGCCTGTGGGTTGGGAGAAGAAGTACCCCGGGATATTGTGAAGCTGATGATAGCCTTTAAAATTAAATCGCTCAGCTATGGTTACTCAGGTGTGCAGACAGACACGGTTGAAAGGCTGATGGACATGTACAACAACGATGTTTTGCCTGTTGTGTACACCCAAGGCTCATTGGGCGCTTCCGGCGATCTTTCGCCGCTCAGCCACTTAAGTTTACCACTGATAGGTTTGGGAGAAGTTTATCATGGCGGTGTTAAAATGGCTGCTGCAGATGCGCTTAAAAAATTCGAATGGAAACCCATTGACCTTAAAAGTAAGGAGGGGCTTGCGCTGATAAACGGCACTCAATTTATGAGCGCTTATGGTATGCATAGTCTCTTGCAAAGCGAACGCCTGCTTAAATGGGCAAATATCATCGCTGCTATCAGTTACGATGCTTTTGATTGTACCACGGAGCCGCTTCATGAAAATATTCACGCAATACGTGCACACAACGGACAGGTGAGTACAGCAGCAACCATGCGACAGTTATTGAAAGGAAGTGAAATCGCTGCAAAGAAAAAATCACAAGTACAGGATCCATATTCTTTCCGTTGCATACCACAGGTGCATGGTGCAAGCAAAGACAGTTTTGATTATATCCTCAGCGTTTTCATTAAAGAAATAAATTCCGTTACCGATAATCCAAATGTTTTTCCGGATGATGACATGATCGTAAGCGGCGGAAATTTTCATGGTCAGCCTTTGGCCATCACGCTGGATTTTCTTGCCATAGCCATGGCAGAACTGGGTAGTATTTCAGAAAGAAGAACCTACCAGCTTATCAGCGGACAAAGAGGATTACCCGCATTCCTGGTTTCCAACCCTGGTTTGAATTCGGGTTTAATGATACCGCAGTACACCGCTGCAGGAATTGTGAGCGAGAACAAACAACTTTGTACGCCTTCATCTGTTGATAGTATACCCAGCAGCAATAACCAGGAAGACCATGTGAGCATGGGAGCTAATGCCGCCACCAAATGTAAAAGGGTGGTGGACAATGTTGAGAAGGTACTTGCCATTGAAATACTGACTGCTGTGCAGGCACTTGAATTCAGGAGGCCGTTGAAAACATCGCCCGAACTGGAAGAAATTGTTGCAGCTTTCCGGAAGGAAGTGAGCTTTAACGAGGCTGACAGGATCTTGCATGAGGATATGATGAAGGCGATTGAATTTATTAAACTGGAAATATAACCGCAGAGACGGAGAGTCGCTGAGTATGTATCTGCGCCTTAGCGCCTCTGCGGCAAAAATAAAACATCTATGTCTACAATTATTAAGAACTACGATCCAATCAAATACAAAACCCCAACAGGCAACCAACTAACCTGCAAGGGCTGGATACAGGAAGCAGCTTTACGTATGCTTTTAAACATTTTTCTTTTCATCACGCGTCTGCTGGCCATTTATTACCTGGAGCAATATCACTCGCGCCGTTCCTCTGTGTTTTCTCAGTCATCCGAACATTCTTAGGCATATTTGAAGTACAGAATACTTTGGAGGAAGAGGAAAAGCTGCAAGAAATTTTGAAGCGTTAGATAATATCATCAAAGCCTTAAAAGTTTTGGAGAACGATGAATCGTTGCTGATACAAAGCGGTAAACCGGTTGGTATTTTACAAACACATAAAGATGCACCACGTGTATTAATCAGCAATAGCCAACTGGTACCCAACTGGGCCAACTGGAAACATTTTGATGAACTGGAGAAGAAGGGATTGATGATGTACGGACAAATGACCGCCGGAAGCTGGATCTACATTGGCAGCCAGGGAATTGTACAGGGAACTTACGAAACCTATGCTGCTATTGCCAACAAACATTTTGGCGGTGGTTTAAAAAATACGCTGAATGTAACAGCCGGCCTGGGCGGTATGGGCGGCGCCCAGCCGCTTGCTATTACCATGAATGAAGGTGTTGCATTGGTGGCTGAGGTTGAAGAATGGCGTATTGACAAACGCATTGAAACAAGATACCTGGATGAAAAACATACCAGCATTGATGATGCCATTAATGCGGCCATGCATTACCGCAAAACCGGCGAAGCAAAAAGCATTGGCGTATTGTGTAATGCTATTGAATTGCTGAACAGGCTTATCCAACGGGAAGTGATCCCTGATACGCTGACCGACCAGACCAGTGCACATGATCCGCTGGTTGGTTATGTGCCGCATGCATTGACTAATGAAGAAGCAAATGCGCTGCGTGAACAAAATCCGCAGGAATATATTGAGCGCAGTTATGAGAGCATGTACCTGCATGTGCAACTGATGTTGCAATTGATGGATAAAGGAGCGATCACTTTTGACTATGGAAATAATATTCGTGCAAGAGCATTAGAGTACGAAGAAAAAAATAAGCAAAAATTATTGGAGTCCAAAGTTCCCCCTTCAGGGGGCGGAGGGGGTAGGTGCTTCGATTTCCCCGGCTTTGTTCCAGCTTATATACGTCCGCTATTCTGCGAAGGCAAAGGCCCGTTCCGCTGGGCTGCGCTGAGTGGAGATCCGGAAGATATTGCCGTTACAGACCAGGTAATGATGGAACTGTTTGCCGACAATACCAGCCTGATGCGCTGGTTTAAGCTTGCCCAGGAAAAAATTGCTTTCCAGGGATTGCCTGCACGTATTTGCTGGATAGGGCAGGGAGATAGGGAGAAAGCAGGACTTGCATTTAACGAACTGGTACGTACGGGAAAAGTAAAAGCGCCGATCGTGATCGGGCGTGATCATTTGGATACAGGCTCTGTGGCATCACCCAATCGTGAGACCGAAGCCATGTTGGATGGCAGTGATGCTGTTGCAGACTGGCCAATATTAAATGCATTGGTGAACACGGCCGGTGGTGCCAGTTGGGTTTCCTTACATCATGGCGGCGGGG